ATACAACGATTTTGGATTTCTGCATATTCCAAGTGTCCAACTAAAGTTAAATGTGTAAGGTGAAATATAATAATGATATAATTAAAGTCTCTTAAATCTCAGGGTTTGAAAAGCACTAGTGGTTAGAGTTGAGAAGTGATGACAGGGAAGTTTTAGAGAGTAACAAGAGATCATTCATAATGTATGGCCAGGTACGTGTGTGTGTGCGTGCGTGTGCGTGTGTGCATGCGTGTGTCAAGTAATATCGAACCCCTGAACCCACCTTGGCTCTGCCATTGCTAAACATTAACTTCAATGTGGTCTTTACCCATTTTCAAAAGGGGGGGGTTGGTGGTGGTTTCTAACCCCCTGAACCCCCCTCTGGATCAGCCACTGATTCACATTGTACATGCTTCTCTATAATAAATCACAAATTTCTGGAAACTGCAAATGATTGACCGGGTGCTTTGGATTTTACGCAGCTTCTAGCAATATACCAGGAACATCATGGCATTGGGCACCAGAAATGGGCTTCACACATTGTACCCATGTGGGAAATTGAACCCAATTTCATGGTGTGGCGAGTTAACGCTTTAACCACTAGGTTAGCTTTCCCCGCACCCCACCCCCACCCCCACCCTACAAACAAGGTGTGCAGCAATATATCCAACAATATAGTACTGTATCAATGGGAATATAAAAATGCCAGTGCATTGTCAAATAAATACATTTTATAGTTTTAATAATGTTATGAATAAACAACAACTAATCATACATAAACATGCCAACTTTCTGACCTGGCAAGCAAGACTTTATGACAACAGATTAGCTTTAAATTCCTTTTTGTACTGTAGCCACAGGGAAGAAATGGTCGACTTCGAAATCAACAATACCATCTTCATGTCTGTTACACTGATTAACATAATTATAGCTATAAAGTTCATGTACTCCCAATACAATTTCAATATTTGACAACTATTGCTATACTACTGCAACAATGAGGACCACTATTGCAAAAAAATACCCAACATAAACACACACACGCAACCATGCACACGACAAAGATGATTATGGTCACATCAACTTATTTTGTTCGGTCGTGCCAAAAACAAGCTTCTGGAAGACTGGGACCTGGAGAGCTCACTGCGATGGCAGTGTACTTCTAATGTGCTACCCCTTCCATTCATGTCAACACTGAATATGACCCCTTATTTAGCCATGATTACTTTTTTCTTTTAGTGGTCTGAGTGGACCTGCAGCAGCATGTAAACTGGAGTGACCTGCAAAATTATTGTTTACAATCATTAAGATGGAAAAAAGGCATTGATACAATCATTGGATGTGGTTTTTAAAGGTACGCCCCTCTAGCAGTTTTCAAAGCAATCAAATTTTTGTTATCAATTTTCTTATAGCAAGTATTGCATATTATGATCTTTTGAGTGTTTTACTTTCAAACTTTTATGCTCATTTATTTTTTATAAAACATGACCCCAAATTATTATCATCTGTATTTTCCTGCTGCATGTAGCAATTGTGATGAAGGTGATCTGCTGGATATGAATTGTTCTAGCCTCAAACTGATAAGGAATAAGCAGAGAAGTTGCAAAATTCTTACATTTTGGTTTTGTCAGGATTCCTTCATTCAATCTGTGCTGAGATGTTTCTTAGACACAGGTTAGCTTTCCTGGACCCCTTAAAGACATGCAATCTTTTTCGCTCTGAAAAAACAAGCAGAAGATGAACAGGGAAATGTCTTTTCACAAGGCCAGACAAATGTTATTTCTTGTTTACGGATCCGCCGATCAGATTTTTTTCACGAATAAGAAAAATAAAATAAAATTCCTGCTGAAAAAATAAAAATCCTAATGTTTCATTTGGCCAAAATGTAAACTTACGAGAATTTTTTTAGATTGTATTTTGCCCCATATACACTTCAAAATTGCCAAAAGTAAAATACTTTTGGTATTTAGAAAGAGGAATATTACTTTGACTGGCGATTTTGATTTTATATATTGTTTTCACCTCAGACGTTAAGTATTCTGAGGACAAAAATCCGTAAAATGAGAAATAAAATTGGTCTGGCCTAAACAATATTTTGCAGACCATTCAGCATGGAACAATGAGCGTGTTTGTCAAAGGTGTGACACTGGAAAAATGGATCTACATTATTCTGGGAAATTTTTCTTTTAAAAATACCAAACAAGAATTTAAAAAAATAAGAAATACAAAGAAATACAAAATAAATGAAAATAAAACAACAAACACAGAAAGCCAGAGCACAAACACTGAATATGTGGTCCACATATTTTTGGTATTTATGTGTTGTAATTCTATTTCAGCTTTTCGCTTGTATATATTATATAGAATTAGTTGTTAGTTTTATGAAGTATTATCTGTCAGCTTAAGACAGTGTACCTGTACTACTGTTAATCTGTGTTGAACCATACGGTTTGATTACATTGCACGATTTCTCAACACAAGGCAGAACTGCGCAGATCAGCAAAGAGTGAAGTCGTCATCTCAAATCAGGTGAGATGTATATCTATTATCTCTATATTGAGTTGTTTTGAAGTAATACCGTATGTTTTAAAGTGTTTGACAATCTAGTAATACAGGTGTACATAGGCAGATCCAGAGGGAGGTGCAGAGATACACCCCGTCCACTTTTGTCCTGACAGTTTGACAGGTTATTAAATGACCATTGAAACTCTCTTTAAAAACGGGTAAAATGAAGTGTGCATCCCCCACCCCACCCCTTTCAAAAAAGCTGTATCCGCCCATGGATGTATGCAGTTGATTTGGTAAATAACTTTACTTGTAGCGCCATGAGCATACCAGATGGCGTGGAGTTTGGCGCATTACAAATTCACTCATTATTATCATGTTTTACAGATTAAAGATTGTATGAAGCAGAGAGGGTTCAGGGTGATCCTGGCACAGTCAGGCTGGTAAGGCTCATCATCAGCTCAGGGCCCTTGCCCCTCTCACACCAGCCCAGACAGCGAATGGGACTTCTCCCAGGAAATGCTGCCTAGTCGAACCCACCAAGAACCTTCCGGAGAATATGAAGGCTCCCCAACACTGCAGCCTTCTGCATTACCCCAGAGTGTCAGAAGGGCTGTACTCCCGGTGGAGAACCGGGCACTCTCCTGATCTGCGCCAAGAGATCAGGAGGTACCAAACCAAAGGGCACCGAGAACAATGGGGAGCCTGACGACAGTGTACTTGGGATGCAGGCGAGACATTTCAAAGGCGAGGTCCGCATATTTATCATGCTTTTCCTTAATCTTGCCAATCACATTGGTGTCAAAGGGACAGAAAATTCAATGATATAAATAAATTCATTGGCTTTATCAAAAGGACAAGATCAGGTTTGTTAGCTGGAATTCTTCTGAGGCTGTATATGGGCCTATTCCACAGAAGTTTGAAGCATCATTTTCCATGACGCCCTGGACATGTTCAGGGTCGTACCATGGATGGACCTCGAGTCAAAGCCACAGGCATGTCGGAGACAGTAATAAAAGCAACGAGCCATGCCATCATGTAGTTTAAGATATGCTGTTTGTGCCAAGGAAGGGCATCCACTGACAAGGTGTTGGACAGTCTCTGTAAATTCATTGCAAAGTCGACATTTCATGTTAATATTCTCTTTAAAGAATCACATTTAGGCGATGACGAGTGGGAAGTGACTGGTCCTGTGCAGCAGAAAGGAAGCCCTCACTTTCACATTTAAGACCAGCCGACTTCATCCAGGCGAAGGAGTCGGTGGGATTGCTATTCTGTTCAACACACTGCATGTACACACGATGCAATGGCTTCTCAGAAAGCTTCTCCACAAAAGACCGACTCTGGGCAGACTTGGTAAAGGACTTCACCCGGTTTACTCCCATCGCTGTACCGTCCAGCAGTACATTGCCATCAGCAAAGTCAACCTCAAATTTCAGATTCTGTCCAACAACCTTGGCACGCTTAAAATAGCTGTGGAATTCCTTGCTTTCATCATGAGTCTTCACATTCATCACTAGAGGATCATCCGATAAATAAATATGTGCAAAAGTACACAATAAAATTCTATCATGAAGAGCCTCCACATTAATCAAACCCCGACCACCAGAATTGATTGGCATATATAAACGGTTAAGAGAGGAACGAGGGTGGTGGGCTCTGTTATCAGACATGATCCTTCTGGTCAGACGGTCAAGACTCTGGATGACTTGTTTCGTCCAGTCAACTACTCCAAAGGGAATAGGAGAGGACTGGCACAGCAAAAGAAATATTGGTGGCTTTTGCTCTGAGCTCCAGATTTTCTTTAAACGAGATTATATTATTATTATGTGGTTGGTTGGTTGCTGGTTGTTTAAATCCACACTAGGCATTATTCCAGCTATATGGCGGCGGTCTGTAAATAACCCAGTATGGAGCCTTAAATCCAGTGATCAACAACATGAGCATCGATCTACTCATATGGAGTGTGACCACCTGATCCCCTTTAGTTGCCTAGAATATTCCAAATGCAGCAATCTCAGACAATTTGGTTTATGAACAGAGGATTTCAGTTGGGTATTTTCTGTTACTGTTACACACCATTCTGACATAAAGTATTCTATATATGTATATAGACGTCATAAGTGTAATGTATTTCTATTGTGTACACAGCCAAGAAATTCAAAGAGATTTTGCACTAGGATTATTTACCTAAACATTGTAATATCAGCATGTTTATTCATTTAAAATTGTATAGTCTATATTCAAAATTAGTGTTCATATATTAATTTGTGTCTTTAACAGGTGACTTAAAACTTTATCTGTTGATGTAATACTTGTGATGATAACTGTCATATAGCCGGAATATTGTTGAGTGCTGTGTAAAACTAAACTCACTAAAATACCTGTGATAAGACAAAACCATCAATAAGAGTAAGAGTACGGTTGCCACTCATATAACAGCTTTCATTATCATGTGTCTCAAGGTGTGTTTGTTATTTATATAAAAAAGAACAGTCCCATTTAAGATCAGACCCTGTAGCATGCACTTGCTGACTCCTACTAGACAATCACCTACATGACAATCATCTTGAAGACAATAACCTACTATAAATCACCTACTAGACAATCATCTACAAGACAATCACCTACTAGACAATCGTCTACAAGACAATCACCTTCATGACAATCATCTTGAAGACAATAACCTACATAGATCACCTACTAGACAATCATCTACAAGACAATCATCTTGAAGACAATAACCTACTATAAACCACCTACTAGACGATCAGCTACATGACAATCACCAACTAGACAATCACCTACTAGACAATCACCTACTAGACAATCACCTAGGAGACAATCACCTACTAGACAATCACCTACAAGACAATCTGCTACAAGACAATCACCTACTGGACAGGCACCTACAAGATAATCACCTTCCAGACAATTACCTACTAGACAACCACATAGTAGACAATCACCTACACGTGAATCTAGACAATACACGTGAATCAAGACAATAACCAGTACTATAGATACCTACTAGACAATCGTCTATAAGACAATCACCTACTAGACAATCTGTTACAGGACAATCACCTACTAGACAATTATCTACATGACAATCACCTACTAGACAATCTGCTACAAGACAATCATCTACTAGACAATCTGCTACAAGATAATCGCCTACGAGACAATCACCTACATGACAATCACCTACTAGACAATCACCTACATGACAATCACCTACTAGACAATCACCTTCACGTGAATCTCCTACTAGACAATCACCCAATAGACAATCTCCTACTAGACAATCACCTACAAGACAATCACCTAGAAGGCATTCCTAAGTAGACAATCGCATGCTAGATAATCACCTACAAGACAATCACCTCACCTACAAGGCAATCTCCTAAGTAGACAATCACCTACCAGACAATCACTTAAGTTGATAAAGTACTCTAATGATTACACAGCATGTTTACATGTCTCAGCTTGTGCTTCCTCAGAAAATAGAACTGGATCATACATGTTGGGAATGTGTTAATATCTCAGTTTACAAGTACACAACTGCATACATCTGTAGTGAAGTGTGTCCCTTGAACAGAAGTTGAAACTCACGCTTCTGGATGTAGCCTGAAAGTCCTAAATCAATGATGCAGGAAACATAGAGCAATTTATCATCATTGTTTCCCAAAACATCATGAATATAACATGAACTTCCTAGTGCTGTGCTTCATGGCTCATATGTTTTGTTCAGGTCCCTAACAACTGCCAAGTTGCCGTGCTCCAGGTTTCTAAGAAATGGCAGGTCATGTTATTTTTTAAGCCTTTTTGAGTGAAACACTGATCTTAATATGATCTTGAAGTTGTGTCTTTCATGCTTATTATATTTCCATTGCCAGTCAGCATTTTGTCAGAAACGGTCCCCAAAACATCAGAGATAAATTTCAACATATGCAACATGTTTACATATTAATCAGAATTAATATTTTATTATAACTTTAGGTTTCATATGAATACGGAAAGGCACTTTTGACACTGTTATTTAATGACAGGTCAGAACAAAATGCCATATGTTATTTACATTGATAGTCATGATTTGAAATGTTCTTTCACAATGTAATCTGCACGTGCATTCTGTCTAGGCGAAACTATTTTTAGTAGATCTTATATTGAACACTGCATACCTTAGTCGGCACAAGGTGCAATGTCAAGCAGAACAAAATCAATGTTTAAGCTATATATTTTGTTTTGTTAAAAGTTTAATTAAGAAACACATGAGGTGGGAGGTTTGATATTTTCATAAGTCGTTCACTTTTTTAAAGCACATAGTTTCAGGTACCTGTAGTATACACTGACTGTCCTCGAACATCAAAGTTGCATATTTGTGTAAACCGAAAAAAATAACATAAATATAATTACCAAAACTCTTTGAATACGTCAGTTTTATATTTAAGGGTAGGGTCGTAGCCTAGTGGTTAAAGTGTCCACTCATTACACCGAAGACCTGGGTTTGATTCCCCTTACATGGGCACAATGTGTGAAGCCCATTTCTGGTGTCGCATGCCCTGATATTGCTTGAATATTGCTAAAAGCAGCATAAAACCTCACTCACTCACTCAGTGATGAGTCTCTGGGACAATGACAACCTTAACACAGATCCAACTAAAACTGTTTTAACAGTTGCATACATATAATTTTTTCAACATTGTCAGTGATCACTGTTCTGACAATGGGGTCAGTTTAGAAAATGGGGCCAGTTCAAACAATGATGTCAGTTGAGACAATGGGGTCAGTTGAGACAATGACAAATGACAAAGACCCCAGAGATACTTGAAATATACTTTTGGTTACGCTCCCCTGACAGCCACCCCACCCCACCAAACCCATAATCCCAGATCAACCTCGGCACTCGATCTCTACCAAGGGAGATAATCAACAAAGGAAACCAGTGAGTGAGTTTTATTTTAAGCAGCACTGTTTCAGCAATATCACAGCAGGTGACACAACAAATGGGCTTCACACATAGTACCCAAGTTGGGAATGGAACGCAGGTCTTCGGTGTCACGAGCGAACACTTTAACCACTGAGCTACCCCCACCCCCTATCGCCAGTAACATTTCAGCTGTATGAAGTCAGTATGTAAATATATAACCAACTCTGGAACAGACAATCCAGTGATAGACACTATTAGCATCAAGTTCTCCAAAGTAGATATGATGACTCCCATCAACCCGCAACCCCTGATTGACATTACAAGTGAGTGAGTTTAGTTTTATGCCGCACTCAGCAATATTCCAGCCATATGGTGGCGGTCTGTAAATAATCGAGTCTGGACCAGACAATCTAGTGATCAACAGCATGAGCATCGATCTGCGCAATTGGGAACCGATGACATGTGTCAACAAAGTCAGCGAGCCTGACCACCCGATCCCGTTAGTTGCCTCTTACGACAAGCATGGGTTACGGAAGATCAATGTTATAACCCGGACCTTCACGGGTTAGACATTACGAGCATCAATGCACTAAACTGTTCAATATGCACAACTGAGCACAGCACAGTGAAATAAATAACTATACAAATCCGCAGTATCAGTTACAAGTTATCTCCCAGTCACCACTTACATTTAACGCCAAACCATTTCCAAATGCACATGAATAATTTCATAAACAAACCACCTGACCACAAACACGTGCGGTCTGTGTTAATTAGCACGCGTGTCATTGCTGGAAAACTTACCCAAACTATATCTGCTCCTGACAACTTCAACAAACACTGGCGACAGTTATAAGTCAATCACACCATTGACGACAGTAGATCACAACCTTGACGACGAAGCGAGCCCAAACGTCTCTGGTGCACTGAGTGTTGTTCCTGGAACTGTCAGGTCGCGATAGCCAAATGGCTCACTTCCGAATCCAGAGCGATGGCATATATTTCAGTTTACCTTGACACTTCTGCGAGCCCAGAAACTTAGTGAACCACATCTGAATGTAAACGTGTCTTCACGTGACCAAGTTTCACGTATCGCCACGGTTTGTGCATTGAAAAGGCTCAGGTAATATGATTGAAAAGTCGATATTGCTTCGTGGAAGTTTGTTTGTATCCCCTGCACCGAGAACAGTGAAGCTATTGTTCTGTATATGAATCGATATGGTAATTAATGTTCTGAGAACCCGATTGAGGATTTCCCGGAAACCCTTGTTCCATATATGGCACTATGACGTAATCATGACCAGGCAACCACTCGACTGGGTTCATGGGGTGCATAGCATAGATAAAACGTATAACCAACCTCCATATCAGAAAGACGAAATACGATTGGTTCGCGGGATCCTGATAAAATACTGCGAATATACACACCCGGGGCTTGAAGATTGAAGTTCAGAGCTGGCCAAAAATTCTTTATACACCAGCCACAAAAACAAACTTAGTGCACCGTTCTTTCTGTGCCTGACAAAACATTCTTGTACCACGCCGCCGATTAAAAAATGCACGCTGGTTTTAAGACTTACACAACGCAGCTCTAGCGAACAGCCATTCTCGTTTAATTGTCTATTTGTGTTTATTCTTTCACAATGGCAGATGTGGCAGTGTGCGTAGCATAAAGCCACATTTAGTTTTGTTGGTTTGCTGCATGGTTAACACCGCACTCAGACCAAAACGCTTGAATCATCAGAACCGCGCCTCAAGCCTAAACCATCCCCGATCAGGATCACTATACCCTACGCGGGACCAGTCAGCCATCAGATAGCCCGACTAAGAGCAAAGCGAGCTTTGATGTAACTTTCTCCAGAGTACAACAATTAAGACACTCCTCAGGGCAAATAGAAGAGGATCTAGAAATGGAAGCCCCAACCCTTAGAGGATGTGTATACCAAATACCATGCAGCTGTGGCGATCAATATATTGGCGAGACTCTCAGGCCCATCAACACCCGGGTTGCTGAACACAAGTCGTCAGTATGCAAACAAAATGATCAGTCAGCTATATCGGAGCACAAGGCAAATAACCCAAGTCATGTAATCATGTGGAATGACACCAGGGTGATTTCGAGCGATAACAACGACTGGCGTCGGAGGGAACTACAGGAGGCTGTGGAGATAAGGAGACATAAACCGGCAATGAATCGTGATCAAGGTGTCTATAGTTTGGCATGAAATGCATGTGGACCCGGTTTTTGTAAATATCTCATCATCCAATGACCCAATCGATCTCAAACTGTGCAAGTGGATGTTTTGTCAGACAACCTAATCACATTGTAAATCACCGATTTTATGCATTTGTATTAAAGAATCTGTCTATGTAACTGTCAACAAAATGTGAGTGAGGGAGCCAATGACCTGTAACAGCGGCAGTGATGGGTCATAAAGGTCAACGTTCGTCAATGTAGGTCAGTTATGCACGACAGGTAGGACAGGTACGAAGAGATGTCACAGGTCGTGAATAGGGTCAGGTGGGTGCCAACTGTTAACCATCATACGGAGTTTGTTTCTCTGAGTTGTTCAACATTAACCACAAAACCCATTAGTGAGAATTATTCTGTAGGTTAAAATCTTTAAATTTGTAATGTTAATGTCATATTTTGTTTATGCTGTACCTAAGTGGAAATGCATTTAAAAGAACACAGAAAGTATATTTACACTAATTCATTAATCGGACCACCTATGGTTAGAACTCAACAACTGTTAAAGCCCTGTTCCCTCGGACACAAGCACACACAATCATGCACACTCATTGAAGAAAAGATAGAATGAAGACAAAAGTGTTATGTTTTGATGTCGTTCACATTCCAAATTAAGCAATGCATTTCTAATAGCTTTAAGCATATAGATAGTTAATATTTATATTTTCATGATAATTTTATGTGAAATGAGTGTTTCATGTTACACTATAAGTCGTTGGAATTAGTCAGTGCTGTCATTGTTAAAAGAAGTTATTTTTCTTTGAGCATATCTGGCTGGATACTATTATTATCTGTAAATATAATAACAGGATTAAACCTCATAAAGTTCACTCCATTCTTCCACAGAGGAGTCATCAGTGTCCCAGACGAATGACAACTGGATTAACTGTTTGCTCCTTCAAGCCATCTTTGAGCCAGTACTCTTTCTCCACCTTCTTGACATGTTCAACACATGCATGCCAGCGTGCAATGTCAATGTCACATATAGCAGTGTTGATTAATGTGCTTGACATCATTCAACTTGAATGATTGATTTTCCGGGCCACTGTACTTTTAAGGTCTCCCCAGATAAGTTCTATTTGGTTGAGATCACAGTGGTACGGTGATAATCTCAAGACCTTATGGCCGTGTTGGCGTAGCATGTTGTCAATGTTAAATGTTGGTGGAGGTTTGTTAGGTTTAATCAAAGAGTAAAACTGTGGCTTAGTGGCCTTAATTGGAAATTGTATGTTGTTATTTGTTAGCCATTGCTGCATATCTGACTTCTTTGTATTGGAAGTTGGGCACCTATTGTTTGGATCTCGAACACTGTGATAGGGAGCATTGTCCATGACAACAAGACTTTTATAAGGCAGAGCTGGCAACAATTGTTCCTCAACATACTGTGTGAAAACCGTTGAGTTCATTTCTGTATGATAGTCCCTACCATCTGTGCTCTTTGACCGAAACACCAGATCACACCCAGGTAGGAATCCACGGTGGGAACCAACATGAAGAACGATTAAACGTTCACCTTTTCCTGTTGGTATTTTCCTACCATCACTGGGATCAGTGGGTAGCCACTGTCTGGCAGCAGTATGGTTTGCATTGACCCAGGTCTCATCCAGATATATAGGTTCGAATCCATCCTCTCTTGCCTGCTTAATTTCTCTCAGATAGTTACACCTTATTTTCACAATATCAGATCTCTCACACATTACAAGTTTCTGGTTTGCTACCTTCTTGTACTTGTATCCAAATTTGAGCAGTAGTTTGCTTAGCATAAACCTAGAAACATTAATGCCGTGATCCTCTGCAAGGATGTGTTTTAACTTTCTTGTGGACAGGTGTTCATTTCTAGCAAATAGCCGGCGAATGACATCTCTGATGACCCTGATGTCAAAAGAATCTAACGTTGGATGCCTACCTTTTTGTACAAGGTTTTGTTTATTGGTTGTTGGTTTATTTTTCACAATTTTAGCACGATGTTCTTTTTCACGCCAAGAGCAAAAGTTGTACGTTTCATATAATCCGACACCTTATACATCTGTTTGCTACGTTTGCCCTCTTTTTGAGAAAATTCAACACATTTCTAATTAAACGTTTAGCATCATCTGAATAAGCTTTCATGATAGCAGCTAGAAGTAGTCAATATGAATGATCCAAACGGTCTGTCACTGTGCAGTGCACAGGTAACTATCATGAACTGCACGTGCATTTACCTTTATGACCCATCACTGCCGCTGTTACAGGGGTCATTGGCTCCCTCCCCTGCAAGAAGTCTGCGTTCTGCTGTTTATTTTGTTGACAGTTACATAGACAGATTCTTTAATACAAATGCATAAAATCGGTGATTTACAGTGTGATTAGGTTGTCTGACAAAACATCCACTTGCACAGTTTGAGATCGATTGGATCATTGGATGATGAGATATTTACAAAAACCGGGTCCACATGCATTTCATGCCAAACTATACCTGATAAACTATAAGTGCGTGGACCTCTAGATTAACTTTTGATGAACTTTAGGTAAACGGATAAAAAAGCCTGCTATTCACTTTTGTGTAATTAGCAGTCGTTCTGATTTGACAATTCAACTTTCAACTCTATTGTGAATTGACAATTCAACTTTCAACTCTATTATCTAGCATGAATTTATCATCATTATGTAATTAACACTTAACTTCACTTATACTGTACTCACCCTTTTGAACTGTGATGTCACTTGCATTGTGACGTCATAACTCAGTTATGACGTCATAGTCCCAACTGTCAGTTCACCTGATGAAGGGACCTGGAATGGTCTCGAAACGTCGTGAGGGAAATTATAAAGAAGTTTAATCCATAAAAATATCTTGGACATCAATGTACAACTTCTAAATGCCCCTGAAAGACATCATTTTACATTACGTCACAATGTAAGCGACGTCACGATGCATGTCAGTTGTCATCGCCTCGTACGGCCTCCTACAGTAAACTACTCCGTTGCATCCCGTGTCTTGGTTTGCAGTTGCTTCACGCAGCGAGACATCTGCAGTTTACGGGTCCCCAGACCCGGAAGTAGAAATGTATTCTTTATAGCTCGCGCAATGCGGGCACGAGCCGAAGGCGCATTTGCTGCCTTCGGCAGTAAGTGACGCGCGCTGCGCGTCTTATATATAGAGAAGCACGCGAGAGCGGGCTGATCTCCGTTAGGAGACATTTTAGACGAAATTAGATGTCATTTTCGTGTTTACTGGCAAAAATTAATTTAAAACTTCGTCTGAAAGACGATAGTTTTAAACACGAATTTTAGTAATGCTCCAAAACATCAATCCACATCAATAGAACAGCGCGCCAGTCAGCCCTGTGCGAGGATTCTTAATTTAGGTCACCACGCCGTCGTTTGTATTCTGCCTTAAATTAATCGTAATTATCCTAAGAAAGTATTGAATTTGGCATCTTAGAAAGAAATACAGTTCGCTCTATCAGCATGTATAGTGTAATAAAACACACTTTCGCCCTGAACTAATATAACGTTAAAGCACTAGGACTCGTACTTTAACTATAATAGTTCAGGGAGAAAGTGTGTGGTAGAGCGAACTGTATTTCTAAATAAAGAGTGATTTTGGATGATAAATAGAATCTCACCCTCGTGTCTTCTGATATCAAATATATCAACACTCGTTGATAAAAGTAAATTTATCAACTCGTGTTGATATAATTGATATCAGAAGACACTTGGGTGAGATTCTATATATATAAGATAGAACTGATGGACATAGAGTAACAAAAACCCGGTGCTGGATAACTTATATCTTATATTTTATATCTGATAGAACTGATGGGCATAGAGTAACAAACCCGGTGCTGGATCGCTATTATTTTATATTTTATATCAGATAGAACTGGTGGGCATAGAGTAACAAAACCCGGTGCTGGATACCTTATATCTTATATTTTATATCTGATAGAACTGATGGGCAAAGAGTGAATAACAAACCCGGTGCTGGGTAACTATTACTTTATATCTGATAGAACTGGTGGGCATAGAGTAACAAACCCAGTGCTGGATGACTTATATCTCATATTTTATATCTGATAGAACTGATGGGCATAGCGTAAATAACAAACACGGTGCTGGTTAACTATTATTTTATATCAGATAGCACTGATGGGCATAGAGTGAATAACAAACCTGGTGCTCGATAACTTATATCTCATATTTTATATCTGATAGAACTGATGGGCATAGAGTGAATAACAAACCTGGTGTGGATGACTTATATTTCATATTTTATATCTGATAGATAGAACTGATGGGCATAGATAGAACTGATGAATAGAGTGAATAAACCTGGTGCTGGATAACTTATATCTTATATTTTATATCTGATAGAACTGGTGGGCAAAGAGTGAATAACAAACCCGGTGCTGGATAACTTATATCTCATATTATATATCTGATAGAACTGATGGGCATAGAGTGAATAACAAACTGATGGTGCTGGATAACTTATATCTCATATTTTATATCTGATAGAACTGATGGGCATAGAGTGAATAACAAACTTGGTGCTGGATAAGTATTATTTTATGTCAGATAGAATTGATGTGCATAGAGTAACCAACCCGGTGCTGGATAACTTATATCTTATATTTTATATCTGATATAACTGGTGGGCAAAGAGTGAATAACAAACCTGGTGCTGAATAACTATTATTTTATATCTGATAGAACTGGTCGGCATAGAGTAAGAAACCCGGTGCTGGATACCTTATATCTCATATTTTATATCTGATAGAACTGATGGGCAAAGAGTGAATAACAAACCCGGTGCTGGATAACTTATATCTTATATTTTATATCTGATAGAACTGATGGGCATAGAGTGAATAACGAACCCGGTGCTGGATAACTTATGTTTTATATCTGCAAGATTACGGTGATGCATCAGTGACCGGCATCAGTGTAATCTAGCTTCTTGGCGGAAAATCCATTTTCAGACGAGAGTCGTCTTTGCTGTTTGTTAATGATGGAAGGACGCTTGTATGGCGATAGAGGAACGTGGCACATCCTGAAAAGTTCCATTCGGCGCAGGATTCTTGATGGTATGGGGCTGTGTGTCGTATGACTGCAAACTTCAGCTTGTCACAGTGAGAGGAAATGTGAATGGACAAAGATACCAAGAGGAAATCTTGAGGAGGCTTGTAGTGCCTCAGTTTGATAATCATCCCCTATTAACAAGGCCAATCTTTATGGATGACAACGCCAGGCCACATCGTGCACCCGCAGTCATTGATTTCCTGCATCAAGCAGCTAAATTAAAACCCTTCCATAGCCAGCCAGAAGCCCTGGTTTGAACCCCATCGAACATGTTTGGGACATTCTGAGGTGTAAAGTTCGTCAGAGAGATCCGCCAGTCCAGAGTATTAGACCAAAACTTACACCAAGAATATAATTGGTTTCCCCAACATCGGATTCAGCGTCTTGTGCACTCAATGTTCAAAACGTCATACAGGTGGGCGGGGGTTACACAAGATACTGACTGGGTCTTCTGTTTCTGAAACGAGAGACCTTATTTGTGGATTGGATTATTGAATTAGGTCTATGCATCGTGTTACCCATTTGGTTTGACCATACTTGTATTAGCACATTATGTTAAAAAAATATCTTAATTTCAGTTTTATTACAGGACCCATGTTTAATCAAATTACACTATTCAGATTCTTTGTTTTTGGCTTTTGCGTTAATGAAATGTCTTTTCAGCACTTTGGCTACAAAATATTTTCCTGTGAAGACGCACATGACATTAAATATAGGTACTGTCATAAAACATGGGTGTTGCGATACTTTTTCCATCTGTACATATTTTAACATTATGTATTTAACTGGAAATAGATTTCTGTCCATCACAGTATACAACTTTACCTTCAAGATACACCCGAGTCTATACATGATGAATAAGAAACATATCCTTTGGAAAATGGGCATCAGTACCCTCTAAAGCTGAATGTATTAAACCTTGCAGTGTTTGAGCATTCCATATCATGTAGAGAGCCAGTAGGTTTTACCGCCGTTTTGAACATTATTGTAGTTATATCACAACGTCAACTTGAGGCGGTAGGAGATGCACTTTGGTAAAACCACGAGCAGGAAGATGGTTCTGACATTCCAGCAATGTAATTGATCATTGGTTTCTGGTCTGTTCAGGGCGGTGGGGTAGCCTAGTGGTTAAAGCTTCGCTCGTCACGCTGAAGACCTGGGTTCGATCCCCACATGGGTACAATGTGTGAAGCCATTTCTGGTGTCCCACGCCGTGATATTGCTGGAATATTGCTAAAAGCAGCATTAAACTAAACTCACTCACATTATATTCAAGTGAGAGTCATAATAACCACAAAAGAGAAAAATGTACAATTAACAAATTTTATTGAAACACACATTATAGAGTTTACAATCATAATCAGCAGTACAATGCGCCATATACAGTCAAACATCATTGTATCGGAATTGAAGGAAATTACTTTAGTTTTCCACAACTGCAAAATGATGCCTTCATAAGGCAGATGCAGGGACCAAGCTTTTTCTCTGATTTTGTTAAGTTCGGACTTACATGAAAGTTTTATCCAATGATGTTGGACTGTATGTGCCACCAGCCATAAATATCAGGCCCTAGTAGAGTCAGTGCTCCCAGTAAAGTCCACAATGTGCGACAGTTGGTTGTCCTGAATGATGCTAATGCTCTGTTCTGGAATCTGGGATGCAGGATCCCCATCCACAAAGCGTTCGTAGGACCACATCATACGAAATTCTATAATATACTATATAGTTACGACTGTTTTAATGCCATGAACGCTTTGCGGATCAGGACCCAGTTTTGGAAGCGGGCAGAATGTCAGTGTTTGCTCACAGAGGAGAACTTGTTTAAGTGGCATTTAGAAGGTGGTGTGATGAACAACAAGGAGAGTTCTATGGATATACACCTTCTTTTATATGATATGAGCGACTTTTCGGTGTAGCTTAATACTGCTGGAAGAGTAATGAAGGTGTCAAGCGCTGGTAGCGACACTAATGGATTCTACTGTCCCATCTTTGGAAGTATCACCAGAACACTTGTAATTTATCAGGGTCCACAAAAGTTCGTAGTGCTGCAACATTCATAAGCCTATGACAAACTAATAGAGTTGCCACAGTGTATGAAATAAGGCCCGTCCGAGCTCCCGAGACGGCTAGATTTCTGACGGACGGTCTAAATTTACAGCAAGCGAGCTCGATGGTCTGGTAAAAATGTTAGATGCCCCATACATCTGAGTAAATTCACCATATCTTGGTGTCTGTTCTGGTTAAATTCCATTTGGGCTTGTAACATTTTGAAGTTACCAGCCCTTTTTTTTGCTGGGTTTTGGCCTATTTCATACTAGTGATGTTCCGATGATCGAAAATAATCGAAAATCGATCGAAAGAAGGATTAAAAATGATTTGTTGTTTTTGTATAGCACCCTTGAATGAAGTAAACTAACCATCAAATTTGACGAATATTCACGAACAAACATGCGCTCAACAGCGTAAAACTATGCCCATTGTAAACTTTTAACCACTTTTATTGTTTAATTACAATTCCAGCGTCATTCTTGCATGTGCATTTCATTGCATGACAGCATTAGTTATAAAAACAACATTAATTAGAAAAATAATGTGGAAAAACCCTTAAAATTGGTGATTACATTAAAATTTATATATTTCGATTATAATCGATAATCGTCCAGCATATCCTCTGATAACCGATAGAGGATTTGGTCTCCAATTCGAAACACTATTTCATATACTGGTTGCGACATGTCGTAACCCAGGGTCTTAGTATTTACGAGTGCTTCAATCAGCTGCCACCAACAATCAGAGAAACAACCCAATAGTATTTGTAAATAAAACACAACAACCAATAAAACAAGTGTTACATACAGTAAACTACGTTTTTAACCAAAACCTTATAACGAACTGATGGGTTTAACAAACTGTTTTTGTTTTGTTTTTAATGTTCCTGCGCCTTGCTCTATATCATAGTTAAAATGTGTACAATGAACTAGGTTATAAAGAAAATAATCTATAAATTAGAGGTCCTCCTGACTTCATCGTAATCGTTGTTTATTGTACATGTATATAAAACACACCAACCAGTGAGATAAAAATGTGCTTTGTTAATATTTCACACATATCAAACTACTATCTGCAAAAACCATACTCAGGTGGTTAATAGTCTTGCTATAGCATCAAATATGAAACTCAACTTTTCATAAGGATCATTAGACATGAATATATTACATAAATAATAAGAAAGAAAAAAGAAATCCATCCTTATTAAAAGTTGAGTTGTACATAATTAACATGACTCATGTCTTTACCACATTGTCCATGGCAACACGTTTCTGAAGACCTGGTTAATGCATTGTCAAGGCTATAATTGGTGTACAACTGAACAGCTACCAGATACACAAATAAAGACTGTCCTATTATTCTGTGTTTCCAATCTTCTGCCCACCCTGAATTTTCATTCTAACGTGAAATAATTAACATTTTCTACTGTCAATTTTCCCCAACGATGTGAAATACAAAAATACTCTTGTACGCTCACTAAAAAGCCAGGTCATCTTTCTTCATCCAAATTTTTTGAAGGCAAGTTTCCAAAGCAAAATCCCACCTCTATGATTTGATAGACAGAATTCAATGAAGGGATAAGTTTAACCGAAAAAGATTTCACCAGAAAATGTGTTAAAACAATGTCATAACCAATCGAAAAGATTTCACAAACAAAACAATCAATTATTGATTTTGAAGGTGCAAAACATAATCTGAAACTTGTAACAATAATTCCCAAATCAACAAAATGTACCAATCTGTGAAATTGTTGCTGAACTAAATAGCTCATAAAATATAAAACGTCACAAAAATATGCCATTATGCTATATCAAATTTGAATTAAAAGGGAAAAAATGTCATATATTTAATTTCATAAACAAAATTCAAAGATGTATATAGGTTTTAATACATTTTAAAGAGGGAAATCTAGTATGTGAACTAGTCTGCATGATTGCAAGAAATACATTTGAAAACATGGTCAACAATAGAAATAAGTCAAATATACTCATGCCAATAATGGTTGTCACCCCTTCCCCCCAACCCCCTCTCCAATTAAAAAAATTGAAGGGGGTGACAACCATTATTGGCATGAGTATATATGCACACATATGAACCTTTGTACATAGTTCTCAAAAAACCTGTAAGAAGTATTAGTTGTTGATTATTTCCGAAAATACATAAATATTTTCATACTGTATAATAGGAATAACATGATATAGATTTGATTCAGCATGGGATTACCTCCCTGCCTTGAAAACTATACTCCCCATGGGTGTATATTTCTGCAAATATTCACAGTGTAGTTAAAAGACAAATTTTGAAGTTGTAAAGATTAAGGATAAAATGTGCACAGCATAATATAGTTCTCTTCATTACAAAAGTTTACCTAACATAGTTCACTTAAATCAGGTAATGCAACAAATAGGTTGTATAATTAGCATAATTATGTATTGTACATCAGGGGCGGATACAGCTTATTGAGAATGGGTGTGTGTGCACACTCTTGAGAAAAGGAGGGGTGGACACTTCATTTCCACCCGTTTTTATGGTGTGCGCACCCCTGCTAAAACAAAACCCCCACACACACACCATCTTTGTACAAACACATCTGGTTTACTTTTGCAAAACTGAGGGTTAGCTTTTCAAAATATGAAAACATCTTATATTGAAGACATATGATTTTTTCTGTAAATATCCTAATCAATACTATACACATATCTTTAATATCATACATTATCTCCTAAAACTTTGGTGCATACCATTTCTACATAACTAAATTTTCTAAAGCTTTTAAAAAATGTTTTGCATTTGTGTAGATTTCAGGATTCTTCAAATCTGTGACATTGAGGGCAATTCCCTATTTTGATGTGTACCATATGTTCCTTATAGACTAAAATTGACTTGCCTTGGCATGTGTTTGTGATGGTGCAACAGGTGGCAGATGATAAGCCCACTTTCTGCAAACTGATATCATCACTATTTCATAATGATTCATCAACACATGCTTATGATATAATCCGAATCATACAACTTACTCTGCTTTTAGTACAGATTTCTTATGATTACAGAAATGGTTTTCTTCCCTTCTATCTAGAAACAATACTTTAATAATGATAATAATAACAGTACATTTCTTTAACACATATCTCCATACACAATGTATGCTTGAAGTGTACCAAAATGTTCAGTGGGAGAGTTCATCAGCATAGGCAAGTTGAAAGAGATATGTTTTCAAATGAGACTTAAGATCTGATGATACTCTGAAGATTTAATGTCAATAGGAAGACAGTTCCACTGATGTGCTGCAGCAAAAGCAAGACACCATTACTGACAGCATTAACTTTTGGAACACTGAGAAGCTAAGATATAGATCTCAGGTCGCGAGCAGGAGTGTTGACATCACCCAAACCCTCTCTGCACAATATTTCATTTAAATCTGTAAACAATTTTTAAATATATATATATTTTTGAACAGTGAAAGATCTTGTGTAGATAAAGGAGTTTTAACCAGAAGAAATATCTGGACTCATCTTTTAAATATATACAATATAAAATATTTATGTTTGAATAGAAGTATTTGAAACACTTAAAATTACATATAATATCTAGCTTCATTTTAAAGGGCTAAATTGATACACACAGTAAAACTGAGAGAATGATAGTCTGAAATTTCATTTATTGCCATTTGTGTAGTCAACGTATTGGTGTAGAATCTTTGGTTCAATCCCAGAGTGACAACATCTAAATCAGCAGCAGGCACACTGAAAACACTTTCACCACTATTTATGTACATGGTGAGGTGAGGTGAAATTGGGTTTAACGTCGTGCTTGAGAATATTTCGCTCATATGACGACGTGCATGCGTGTGTATGTGTATGTGCGGCTGCTTGTACTAGCCCAGACTTAAGCTGGCTTTATAGTGCTAGCCTACTGAGATACCATACCGCAGTGAAGCATGAATACCCCACTCAGACACATTATACTTACTCCAAGCCAACCAGTCCTTGTTGTACCCATTAATGCCGAGCGCCAGGCAGGGACCACCAAGTACCATATTTTAACGTCTTTTGGTATGACACGGTCGGGGATTGAACCCGCGACCTTCCGCTCTCCGGGCGGACGCTCTAACTACTACACCACGGAGGCGGTCATTTATGTACTTGGACTGAACCACTATTGTTGGGACATATTTTGGGCTAAAAGAAAAGCCTCTGGATTAAAGTTTAAAATTTGTTTAATATCTGTTTCCCAAATCAAGTCTGGTTGTCTTGTGTTAACGTCAATAAATAAATAATACGAAAAAATATAATTTTACAAAATAAAATAAGGCCAGACCAATTTTACTTCTTGTTTTACGGATTTTTGTTCTCAGAAAACAGGAGGCAGGAGGCAGAAGGGAAATTGTTTTTTTCAAATATCACAAGTCAAAGTAATATTCCTTTTAAATTCTAAAAGTATTTCACTTTTGGCAATTTATGAAGTGTATATGGGGCAAAAAACAATCTAAAACAAATTTTCATGTAACTTTACATTTATGGCCAATAAAAACATAAGAATTTATTTTTTGAGTGGGTAAAATTATTTTTTATTTGTTTTCTTATTCTTGAAAAAATACGACAGGCAGCTTCGTAAAACAAGGAAAAAAAATGGTCTGGCCTAATGTACACAACAAATATGGAACCATTCACATCAATTAACCATATTTAAGATAAACACAATTCATGGTTTAATTAATTGTTGTTCAAACAATCTAATGACATGGATCGTTTCAATCACACGTACTTCAAGTATTTTGTTTACTAATGTTTCATTCAATATGCCCAAGTATATCCATTTCACAGCTGCAACAGGTAAGTCACATTTACTTGGAATCAGTGTAGACGGTAAAAACTCTATACAAGTACCACTATTTATGTATACTGAAAGTCACACAACTAATAACTACAACCTGTAAATCTTCACAGCCATCTTCAGCTTCATTAGGACTTCCCCATTCTATTTATAGATGCTTCCACCAATTCACTGATTGTCAAGCATCTGAAGATACTACCTGTCTGTTGATTGGCCATTTTGTCCACTTCTTTAAATTTCCTTTCTAATGTCCTTACGCATTCTGCATGAACTCTAATGGAGTGAGGTCTCTTCACAACAGCTTTCCTTCCATCATCTGACTCACGCAATGAATTCATCATTATTCAGAACTTTACAGGCTTTACTTGAAGCCCAGTGGCTGGACAGCCTAAAACCGATGCCTGGCAAGTGCCCCTATTTCTGTGTAGTGCCACTTTCACAAGCACCACTATTCCATGCTGACATGGTCCCAGTCACAGGTGAGCCAGGCTTCCCAAGTGCCACTATTCTGGCAGAGAGTTGCTTCCCTGACCCAGACTTACAAAGAACATGTTTATAATCATCCTATTCATGCTCTTGGATTTCACCAAAGCAATAATTGTCCAAAAACTGTATTAATTCAGAATTACTCCTACATAAGCTGTTGTACGCTTAGTCTGTTTCCAAGGTATGTATCTAATATCAAGCGATTTCAAGAATCAGATTGGAGGGTGTTATTATATCCAATACAATAGTCCAATATTATGCAATATCTCAAGTGTGATCTCCATGGTATATCTTCAACGTGAATATGTACAAACTATAATCACATATTGTGTAAATCATATGCTGATGCTTCACATACGTGATAAATGATTTTCTTTGAAATCATCGCCCTAATAGTCACAAGTATTGCTTGAAGTGATTGTTCTGTTTTCTCCTTGCATTTCTTTCAAAGTTTTCCATTTCATCGTCCATGTGGTCCATGCCGGCTGCATTCCTAATACCAGTCATCCCATTCCGAAAATCACATACCCAGTCTTCTGAGGGTGACCTCCTTACCCACGGTGGACGAGGAAGAGGAAAAGTTGGAGTTGTGGCTGCTGATGCCCCATCGGTATCTAGATCTTCTGGTGAAGGCCTCTCGGTCACAGTCAACTCTCTCACATCCTCATCCAGTCCCGTATCACAAGCTAAGTCAAATGCCAGCTTTTCTTCCTTGTTCTTCAAGAACTTGTCAGCTTCAAGCTTCAGCAAGACCTTAACATTGTTACATACAAAGGAAACCCTTCTTGTGCATATCTTGTGCAGCACTGTGTTTCCTTCGAGGTCCATGCTGTTGATATCTGCTCCATTTGCTATGATGTCTTTCAAGGCATTTGAGTCCAGAATATCTAGTTTTGTGCAATATGTGTGCAGAAGTTCTTTTATGACCGTCTCACCATGTTTCTTAGCCAATGCACAAGAGGTATGTCCTTGTTTGTTAGGAGAATCAACAGGACATTTCAGTTTGATAAGTACTTCCATACAAGTTCTGTAGTGTTCACTCAGTTTGGGCATAGCTGAAAACAGCTTGTGAAGTGCAGTATTTCCCATGGAATCCTTTGCATCAATTGGTATTCCTCTTGAATGAAGAAATCTTATAAGACCTGCACAATGGGGAGTCATTCCTTCAACCACTTTATGTAAAGCACTTTCCCCTCCCTTGTCCTCTGCACACAGATCAGCTCCATTTGAGATGAGGAACCCAATAATGCGATCAGTGAACTCCCCCTGTGTTGTGGCAGCCAGGTGTATCATAGTCAGACCATCGGCGGTGGTTCGGTGTATGTCAGCACCTTTCTGAATCAGCCTCTCCAGGACACTGACAGTGTGTTGTTCATCACACTGTACAAGTCTTTGAAGCATCGGGGACAGGGTGTCACTGTTAATGTGATCACATGACAGTAACTTCTCCAAATCTTGGACTTTGATGTCTAGCTTACATGCTCTCATGAGTGCTTTCATAATCATCAATTCATTCAAATCATTTACTCGGTTCCTTATCACTATGTCCATGACGGTATCATCGGCAGAATTAACTTGAGTAAGATCAGCTCCAGCATCAATAAGGATTTCAGCAACTTCTTTCCTGCACTCCCCTGAAGACAGGCATACTTTGTGTAGAGGGGTGTCCCCATACTTGTCACCAGCAGACAGCATTCGCTGGACATCTCTTGATTCAGGACTTGTATGAAGATGCTTAAGAAGAACTCTCAGCACATCTGAACTGTATTTGGAACATTCCATGCAGCAGATATGGATTGGTAAGTGTGTGTGCATATTCTGACTCCAAATATCTCCTTTGCAAGACAGAAGAAACTCTGCAACCAGTGAACTGCCCCCTCCTCTTGATACACAGGCATGATGCAATGCTGTCATTTGTTCTTTGTCTGCAATACTGACGTCTGCTGTCTGTGGTTTATTGCTAGGTCCCTCTACAAGCATCTGAGCAACTTCCACGCTTGTGCCATGTGACACATTGGAGACTTTATGCAGAGGAGTTTGCCCCTTGTTATCTGTCGAGTTCAGATTTGCACCTAATTTCATCAGTGCTTTTACAACATCAGATTTATTTTCTTTGCTCACAGCATGATGCAAAGCTGTTTCACCTTGCAAATCTTTTGCATCTACATCTTTACATAAAAGTTCTGTTATTTTCCCATCACAGCCATTTTCAGCGTAGCAATGTAGTGGTGTCTGTCCTTGCTGATTTGTCTCTTTGTATGTTAATCTATAACCTGTTCTCGGCATCAACATCTTGATGACTTCATCGTTACCTGTCCTGCATGCAAGATGAAGTACTGTGTTGCCCTCAGCATCAGCTGTCTTTACATCCACATTTCTCTTCTCAAGAAGGAGCCTTAAGACTGCTGTGGTCCCTGTCGAAGCGATGAGAGTATGGAGTGGAGTTTGCCCTTTTCTGTCTTTCATGGTCATAGAATGAATGTCAGTTTTCTCCACCATTTTATATTCATCTTCATCCTGCATCAAGAACTGAAGAATGGATGCCATGATACCATTTGAATTCATGCAAAGCAAATGGGCAGGAGTTTGTTTGTCATTGTTTTGCACACTGGCGATATGGGAGTTTCTGGGAATTGCATTTTAGCCCTGACAAGCTTCTCAACAACTGGTTTGTTGATGAATCTTCCTTCAGATGAACATGCAGAGGGTATTTCCATGTTTATCTGGAGCCTGTGTATCAAACCCTGCCTTCAGTAACTGTTCCACACATGTCACATTCCCAGTGACACATGCTGAATGCAGAGCAGTAAAACCATCAATGTCAGTGGTGGTGGTGTCCCAGGTCTTCACCGTGAGAAGCCACGTGAGAGTGTCTGGTTTGTTAATGTGAGAAACACTTGCAGCAAGATGAAGAGCTGTATGGCCTGTTTCAGTAACTCCATCTAACACACTGGGGTTTCTCTTCAGAAGGACCTCTGCTGCACCCTTTCTATTAAACCTGCAAGCTGCAAGAAACATCTCTTCCAGGTTTGTATTGCATGGTTTTTCATCCGATGTTGCATGGTCTCTCTGCTCCAGGAGATGTGTGATGATTTTCTCATTTCCACCTTCACTGGCACTTACTAACAGGCTTGTCCAGTTGGGACTTAATCCATCACAGCTAACTGCGTTGTATTTATCAAGAGATCCAAGTTTGCAAGCCACCTCAAGGGCGCTGACGATCAAGTCATGTCTGCCTTTTCTACCTTGGAGATTTGTGATGAAGGTTTTTACTGCATCAATATCTCCATGTGTTATGACAATCAAAATCCATTCCTTCAGTATGTCAGGAGAGAGGTTATAAAACTGGTTAACAAGCTCTCTTAAAACTTTGTGGATAATTTGTGGACATTTACCCTCCTTGCAAGCAGCCATGCAGGGAAGGTTGACCTTTGCACCCACACTAAGCAACAGGTCATAAGCTTCTTTGTTGCCAGCCTCACAAGCTCTTACCAGAGCCAGATGCTTGATATACTCTCCACTCCCAGGCAGAGTCCTCAAGACGTTCACTACAATCTCCTCTACCAATGGAAAATGCTTTAATGATATGGCTTGCAAAAGAACATCCTTGTAATTTGTAACTTTCTCCTTGAGTTTCTTCTTAATGTTTCTCACAAAGTCTCGTGAATTAAATCCTGAAAATTTTAAAGCATCCATGACACACTCCTCTTCCAAGAGTCTTCTGATCAAGTGTTCTTCAAAATAAACATCTATGGCGAGTTTATCTGTGTCTTCGTCTTCACAGTCTTGAATTACTGTTTTGTGGATGAGAAAAACTGAGGGGGCACCATTCAAGCATGAGTTCTTCACTTTTTGAAAACAGTACTTGACACACTGCATCAGTGACTGATTCATGAATAACTGTATATCTTTTGTTTGTGCAAATCAAGTACTCTCCTATCATACCTTTTGCTGCTTCCTGAATCTTCCCCAGTGAAATGCCTTGTATGTCAAGTATCTTGTTTAAATTTTCAAAAAATGGTTGTGGAGATTTGGGTGATCTTGAGGCCTATTCTTGGCTTCATATAAGAAACCATCTTTCACAATCATTACAAGTGCAGCAAATTTCATCTGTTCATTTTCGGCCATGTGTTCAAGCTGCTGAATGAAGGAACCAACTGGGTTCTTTAAGCTTGTCACTAGCTCTGTGCCCTTTTTAGAGCCACTTGACTCAATGGCCATGAAGAACCAGGGGTGGTCAGTTAACTTTGCAATATCCTGAAGTGCCGCCTCTTGAGAGCCCTCTGTTGGTCCTAAAGATTTGACTGTCTGTGGCTTTAATTTCTGTTTCAAAATTTCATATCGTTCATGTTCTTGCAAAGGAAGGTCTTGTAGAGTCACTGCATGTTGGGAATTCTTCCCCTGACATTTAAGCAGAGTAGATTTCTCCAGCTTTGGCAGGTTCTTTGTTGAAATGCTTATTATAACATGAGCTGCACCTCTGCTAGCAAGTTCCACTGCATCAGTTAAGTGGGTATCAACTTCATCATGACTCTTAAAGGGAACATCAATGAAAATGACGAACGTTTCAAATTTACCATCCTTTTTAACATCTTCAAGTCCAGTCAGATCTGTAATACATTCCAAATCACCTTGATTCTGGATATAAAGTGGGATGTAGGACTGATCAAAGGTTTTGAGAATGTACAGCCCCAGTGATGTCTTGCCATATTCTTCAGAGCCTTTAAGTAAAACCCAGCCACTTTTCACACACTCCTTTGCAGACTTGGCGGCTCTGGTTTCATAGTACGAATCCCTTCTAAATTTGTCAAGTTTTCGCTTGGTCTGCACTGAAACGGGAAATACAGGTCACATCAAGACCAACCCATAAAAATACAGTTGGTTGCTTGTTGTTTAACTCTGCACTCAGCAATATTCCAGCTATATGGCGGCTGTCTGGAGTCTGGACCAGACCAATCCAGTGATCAACAGCATGAGCATCGATCCACGCAACTGAGATAAGATGACATGTGTCAACCAAGTCAGCGAGCCTGACCACCCGTTCCATTCGTCACCTCTTACGACAAGCATGGGTTACTGTAGGCCAATTCTAACCCAGATCTTCACGGGACTTAAAACCACTGAGCACTGGTCAATATATTTAACAAAACTGACATTTTATTGACCATGTAGTATTCATACCCTAAAGACATTGATAAACTCAATATTGAGCAAATGTGGCACTCTCACTCAATACTGGCCAGTCTTATATTCAGGACAACTGACAAGTATTACTTATGTCAGTGGGATGTGTACTGAATACAGATGCAGTGTGACAGTTCCAAACATGAAAATGACACAATGCGAATGGACTCGTCCCTAGGCTACGTTTCTGTATTATGATTTTGGCTAGGGTATGTAGTACGCCTTCAGCTTTAGTGAAAACCTACTGTAACCAGGATTCCTGACAGAGAGGGCATGCATACGTACACAGACACACATACACACACACACAGACAGACACACAGAGAGACAGGCACACACAGACACACATACACAAACAGATTGAAATGGTAATAAATGTACAATACAACAATCAAATATACATATTTTGAGTGTTCACACTGTAATGTCAAGTTTTCTTAGCGGTCATCAGTTCAACTCATTAGAGTTATCTCCCTTGTAGACCGCGTGCTTGGAGCGCGTGCAAAATGTGTGCGATGGGATGTTTGTGAATTTCCAAGTCATGGTGTACTCTCTGATGCATCATAATGTTGCACGTATTCTACAATTCCAACGTAAGAAATCTGTGTCGTTGTGACTGTGAGGTCTGCTTACAGTTTGTGCGATTTGAGATATGAGTTGATTGAACTGCAGTATCAATGTCAGTGTTTAAAATTCCCAAAATTACACACCAGACAGACGTACTGATAACTTAAAAAAATTACCAGTCAGGATAAAAACTTGCCTGTTCGGTTTTCAACAATGAAAAAAAAAGAGTTTTCAGAATACTTTACTGCTTGTAGGCATCGCAATGAACAACATAGCACTAACAGGCATGCATCGAGTTTAGGTAAACTGAACGTACATCAGCCTGGTTCCCGGGTCTGTTGCGCCTGCGCTAATGCTCCGACACTGACCCAGGCAACCACATTCGTCACAGTTCGCCCTTTCCGTAACCTCGCTATTCAGCTTGTCCCGGAATAACACAAGTGAGTAACGAATGCAGCAACCACAGTGTCGGAGTGTTAGCACAGGCGCAACAGACCCAGGGAACCAGGATGAAAGTACATGTGTTCTGATTGGTTCTTGTAAAATGAACTGTCCAATCGTAAATAGTTTAACATAATTATCATAATACCTTAAACACCTCAAACTGACGACAAGAAAACCTGTCTGATATTATAAAATATTTACTGTTAAGGGTAAAAACATCTACCAGACTACCGGACAGGCTACTTCTGAAATTTGACTGTCCGGACGGTCGGGCAGGCGGGAATTTTAAATGCTGTTAATGTGCGAATTCAGAATACAAATTTTGCTCGACTCTTATCTCTCATGTTGTTCTTCGAATCATGAAACTTGGAAACACTACACACACATATTCAGATTTAAAACATATAAAATCCACCTATAACATATACAGAAAGTTATATGATTAACTAAACAAGAAAGGTGTTTATTCATGACAAAAATAAATAGAAACAGCTCTTTTCCTGAATTCACATATGACCCATTTTAACTTTACCAAATAGATAACAGTAGAAAATTGACAAACTTTATGGATAACAACTTTTATATTTTGTGAGTTCAACATTTGGATACAGATTCTTGTACTGTTGTCAAGCGGGAATGTGGTCCACAGATATTTTCTGCGATGGCCTTGACCTTCAGTGTCACCAAAACACAAGTGAGAACAATACTGAGTGCCAGACGAACATGAAAAATGATTCCTCAGAAACGAATCAGAAATTTCATGAAATTTGAAGCATGATGCATAATTTGACCTCTAGTGACCTTGACCTTTCACAGACCCGTCCTCATGTCATACAATGGTAATAAGAATTGGCAAATTGGATTGGGTACTCAGGCTTGCTGACTTGGTTGATTTATGTCATTTTATCCAAATCACATTGATTGATCTTCATTTGATTGATAACAAATACATAATACATACTGGTCACAGCAGTTTACAACTTCACTGTTTTAATGACCTAGTTTCCATGATGTTTAGGGGACCTAATGTTATCCAGTGGTGCAAAAAAATACCCAGTGAGTGAGGGAGTATGGTTTTATGCCGCTTTTAGCAATATTCCAGCATCATCACGGCAGGTGACACCAGAAATGGGCTTGTACCCAAGTGGAGAATCGAACCCGGTGTTCAGCGTGCCACGCGGACGCTTCAACCATTAGGCTACCCCACCACCCCAAAGGTGACATTGACAATATGCCCTGGTATAAACAAATATATAACAATAAATTCCGGTGAGTCAAGAAAAATACTTTTAAACCCAAAAAACTTCTTTTTCAATACATCTAAAAATTAATTTAAAAAAGAATGGTTGCTCTAAAAAACGGAGATACCTGTCAATATATTCATATTTATAAGATTTAATGAAACATACCCTTTATCTTGTCCAATCGGGTAACCACAGGAGCTGAAAGCATGATCATATGAGCCTTCACTGTCTTGAGCAACAGACAGTTGTTTATGTTTCTCACTGATTGGCTGGAAGCCACTGAGTACTTTTGATTACTGGGTATGAACACTTATAAAACTGTAGTCTTAAATCAAAATGAAATTTTAAAAAGAGAAAAAGGAATGGCCATTACTGATTGTTGTCAGATATGTGATTAAAAACATCAGTGGTGTTCCTAACTAGATGGCTGAACCAGTTCCGATCATTTTCCTGTGACTTTCAAAATTTTGATAAATATAAGTCCTGAAGAGCTCAATGATAGTATCATCTATATCGATGTAAGTATCTTCTACCAAGATGAAAAGACTTTCTACGAAGATGAAAAGAGCTTCTATGTAGATGTAACGATCGTCTATATAGATGATAAAATATTTTTTAGATTATGTCACTAATCCGTTTTTATACTTACTGTTCTGGTTGATCACTACCTTCTGACCGACTACAGTATTAGGACAATTTGCCAATTTGACCTCTGTCATCTCTCCTATTCTAACATCCTCTGTATATTGCGCTGAAAAGTGAGTCAAACGTTCATGTAACATCAGTGTTACTTTATCATACAGCTATGGAAGATATTGCCTATCAAGACACAGTCAAAACAAACCTAAGATCGTGATCTGGTTAATGTTCTGTAAATGTAGCAATGATGGCAATATAGTATGGGTGACTATTGAGGGGAGAACAGCTATTGCGATAGCGATATTCTATTGCGACCAACTATTGCAATACTGTAGTTTTTTTTCTCCTTGAATTGTCTCATTTGAAGTCATTTCCCATATGAATGTATAGTTTATATGAATAAAAACAAGTTGAAGTAGTTTCTGTCTCTTTTAATAACTGACAATAAACTTGAAACCTAGATCAAGTAAACAGTTAAAACATAAACTCAATGAAGCTGCAAGTCTGCTCATTTATCAACGAAAGTCAATTACTGAACTATCTATAGTCACACATACTATCGATGCATCGATAGTTTTTCGCTTAAACCATTGATTAATTGCTATTGGAGACTCAACAATTGCAATGCATCGATAGTTCATCATTACAGCCCTACAATATAGGTCTGAGAAACAATTCAAAGTAGTATTTATGTATTATATTTCTAAAACAACTTGGTATGGACAACAAGTTAGTGAAAATAACGCAGCCCCAAAATATTGAAATCATAACATGTGAACCTACCGATAGCATTCTGGTTCAAGTTCTGTAATCTCGCCATCTGTGTGCCACTGAAATGTATTCATTGTTGATGTAATGTGACTTATTAAGAAAAGTCTCCACTGAAGAAGAAATACATCTGACATGGCCCTACTATCAGTACACCATATCCTGTTTGTGTGTTTGCTTCTAACAGACTGACGACAGACTGTAAATACTCAAGTCTGGACCAGACAATCCATCGACTGACATCGTGAGCATCAGCCTAAACAAACTGGATGCGACGACATGTGTTATCCAAGGCACAGATCCGAACAACCTGATCCTGTTAGTCGCATCTTACAACAAGCATGGTGTTGCTGAAGACCAGCTCTAACCCAGATCTTCATAGGATCCACATGAGTGAGTGAGTTGAATGTACTTTGGACCATGCAAACCAGTGGTTGACAGGATTGACAACAATGTGTTTATAAACATATGTAGTATACATAAAGCATCTAAACAACAATGAACATTTGTAATGCCTCATTTAATTGTGATGACGTATAGATAATTAAATCTAACAGTATATTCAGTAATTTTATCATCTATAATTTTATCATCCATAATTTTATCATCCGTAATTTTATCATCCATGATTTTATCATCCATAATTTATTCTCCATATTTTTATCATCCATAATTTTATCATACATTATTTTATCATCATGTTGCAAATCAGAATTGACACCTAAAGGCAAATTCCAGTTACAAGACGTACAATTTTGCCTATAAAGGACATACCTGGATGAAGGCATTTCCATGGTACTATCTGTAAAGAAAGAGATTTTTATAGAGTAACTGAGAGTAATGATACAGGCACTTTCTGGAGTTGTTGTACTTGAACTAGAAAGTATATTCTGGAAAATATGTCAGAAATTTTCGTTTGAAATATCCCAATCAACATTTCCGGTTGAACTTGTACCAGAAATGATATTCTTGAAAATGTCTCAGAATTACAACACAATCAACATTTTTGATAAATAAGAGCCTTTTTAAGGCCATAAATTAATTGTTAAAGTTTCATTCAAATTTGTTATCAAGTCGAAGGCAATATTGTTAACAAAGTGTTCCAAACATCTTCGTACAGTAACTGTTAATAGATGAATTCTTTTGGTACGTATATGCACATGATGTATTTCACAAACTAAGGAACCTAGGGAGACATAGAGAAATCTTCTTCATCAGGCGGTACCTCGGGACAACAAATTATGTCTGTTATCCTGATACACATATATCTTAGTGCTAAGACAACTGTAACTCCCATTCATTAACTAAGACTTACAACAGTGATTGCGCTAAAATCTTTGTGGAATGGAGTCCTGGGTGTTTGGTACCGAGTTGGGATGGAAAAAACCCTTATATTTAAATATGTAGATTAATGTTTACCTACAATCGTGTCGGCAATCAGAGAGCTGAGTCTTTAGCAAAATTGAACAGTATTCAGTTCAGTTTCATTATAATATATCTAGAAGCATGGATATGGAGCAGACAAACCAAGGAACATAACTGGGGCTAATCTGGGATTCAAACTCATGACAGGTGAATTAAGGCATGACTTATAATCTACTGCATGATATTCTGGGTAATGGCCAGTGGTTGGGGTACACCAAAATTTGGTCATCTAAGTCCATACATGATTCATTCATGCACACAGAAGAACACATTCGATCCCGGAATCTCCTCAGAAACCTCTCAGATTATACACATTGGGTATGGAATAACCTTATAATACCTTTAGGATCTACAGGTGAGCTTGCATTCCTTCCTTTCATCTGTTCATCATCCGAACCATCGTCCTCCAGGTCTTCTATCTTTACACTTGACCTGGAGAAGATAAATATCAATGGTAACAATTCATAATTCCAACATACGCTATTCTATGAACAACAAAACATTTTAACATTAATCAGTTCATACAGAAACAGTGTCCAATTAAGTAAGTCATTTTATTCACGTTTTTCTAGGCCACAGGCCCACAGTACAAAAACTTTTCAATAGTGTGATTACAAATGAAGTGATTCATACAATTTCATAGCAAAATATATGTATTTAGACAAATTCACAGAAGTAAGTTGATGATTTGAAGACATAAGTCTAACAAATGTTTCAAATGAGGGGTTACTATAGTATTAATACTGAATATATTGCTTTCTTTAGTCGGAGAAGGCACAGAAGACAAGGATAAAATGGTACTCGTTTTCGACAAGCTGGATATTATATCGAAGGCAGTATCTGCATAAACGGTTCTTGATGTCTATGCCCAGTCGTCTCCCCATTTCGATCATTAGCTGGTGGCAGCCACATCTGAATCTGGTTAACGCTTGCTTCAATGGAGGGGAACTGATTTGTGAGGGATAAGATTCCGCATGCAGAACTGTTTTGTAAGTTGAATAAGCTGTCAACTTGGAGTTGGATGATAAGCCTGCCATCATTGAATGTTGTAGTCAGACACTCTTTGTTTGAACTCAGACATGACAATATCAATATGTCCAACATCTTGCTTAACCAATGCGTACCCGAATCCGAACTAGAATAAGATATGTTTGATATTTTGGCCCAAGAATATCTGTTAACGTTGTCTAATCCATATAGCATAAGATAGTAGAGGTATGACGATACAGAAATTTCATGATACGATACGTATCGCGATATCTTGGAACGATACGATTCGATTCGATGCATATCACGATGTGCTTTCTTTAGTTATTTTCTTTACAAAATCATATTTTAATAGCAAGAAATTTTGACATAACCGTCAATATCTAATGAAAATTAACAATTTTAAGGTCAACGATACATATCACGATACGAAAAAATGTATCGATATATTTATCGTCAGATAAAGTATCACGATTATCGATACTACGATATATCGTCACAGCTGTATTAAATAGGTTTGCTTTGGAAATCTGTCGTAATTTATGTTGATTATTTTGGCCCAATATTTAACACATTTAGTTACATAAGAAACATATAATAGAGGTCGTCCACTTTCACCAAGCACTGCATCATTGCAGGTTGTCAAAGGCAGATGTAGAATTGTTTTGATGAACTTTGTCTGTACCCTCTCAATTTGTTCTACCACCTCATATCCCAAGAGCTCGGCGCCGTATGTAAGTATTGGTAGGACCATGCTGTCAAAAATCCTCATTGCAGTGGTGATCTGTAATCCGCCACACATATAATGAAGTCTGTATATGTGCAGACAAGTCCGAGATACTTATAATACGAGACAGTTTCTATTTGGGATCCCCTGTAGTACCATTGTTCATATGAACATAAATATCCACCTTTACGGAATACAACGATTTTTGATTTCTGCATATTCCAAGTGTCCAATTAAAGTTAAATGTGTAAGGTGAAATATAATAACGATATAATTAAAGTCTCTTAAATCTCAGAGTTCAAAAGCACTAGTGGTTAGAGTTGAGAAGTGATGACAGCGGAGTTTTAGAGAGAGTAACAAGAGATCATTCATAATGTATGGCCAGGTGTGTGTGTGCGTGTGTGTGTGTGTGTGTGTGTGCGTGTGCGTGTGTGTGTGCGTGTCGTCGAACCCCCTGAACCCCACCTTGGCTCTGCCATTGCAAAACAATAACTTCAATGTGGTCTTTAGTCATTTTCAAAAGGGTGGGGGTGGGGGGCGCGGCGGTTTCTAACCCGCTGAACCCCCCTCTGGATCAGCCACTGATTCACATTGTACATGCTTCTCTATAATAAATCACAAATTTCTGGAAACTGCAAATGATTGACCGGGTGCTTTGGATTTTACGCAGCTTCTAGCAATATACCAGGAACATCATGGCATTGGGCACCAGAAATGGGCTTCACACATTAAAGTTAACGCTTTAACCACTAGGCTAGCTTAGTTTTCAAAGCAATCAAATTTTTGTTATCAATTTTCTTATGGCAAGCATTGCATATTATGATCTGTTGAGTGTTTTTACTTTCAACTTTTATGCTCATTTATTTTTTTTATAAAACATGACCCCAAATTATTATCATCTGTATTTTCCTGCTGCATGTAGCAATTGTGATGAAGGTGATCTGCTGGATATGAATTGTTCTAGCCTCAAACTGATAAGGAATAAGCAGAGAAGTTGCAAAATTCTTACATTTTGGTTTTGTCAGGATTCCTTCATTCAATCTGTGCTGAGATGTTTCTTAGACACAGGTTAGCTTTCCTGGACCCCTTATAGACATGCAATCTTTTTCGCTCTGAAAAAACAAACAGAAGATGAACAGTGAAATGTCATTTCCCAAAGCCAGACCAATGTTATTTCTTGTTTTACGGATCCGCCGATCAGATTTTTTCACGAATAAGAAAAAATAAAATAAAATTCTCTGCTGAAAAAAATAAAATCCTAATGTTTTCATTGGCCAAAAATGTAAACTTACGAGAATTTGTTTTAGATTGTATTTTGCCCCATATACACTTCATAAATTGCCAAAAGTAAAATACTTTTGGTATTTAGAAGGAATATTACTTTGACTGGTGATTTTGATTTTATATTGTTTTTACCTCCAGACGTTATGTTTTCTGAGGACAAAAATCCGTAAAATGAGAAATAAAATTGGTCTGGCCAAAACAATATTTTGCAGACCATTCAGCATGGAACAATGAGTGTGTTTGTCAAGGGTGACCCTGGAAAAATGGATCCACATTATTCTGGGAAAATTTCTTTTTAAAATACCAAAAAAGAATTTTTAAAAATAAGAAAAAAAAGGAATACAAAATAATGAAAATAAAACAACAAACACGAAAGCCAGAGCACAAACACTGAATATGTGGTTTACATATTTTTGGTATTGATGTGTTGTAATTCTATTTCAGCTTTTCGCTTGTATATATTATATGAAATTAGTTGTTAGTTTAATGGAGTATTATCTGTCAGCTTAAGACAGTGTACCTGTACTACTGTTTATCAGTGTTAAACCATACGTTTTGATTACATTGCACGATTTCTCAACACTAGGCAGAACTGTGCAGATCAACAAAGAGTGAAGTCGTCATCTCAAATCAGGTGAGTTGTATGTCTATTATCTCTATATTGTGTTGTTTTGAAGTAATACAGTATGTTTAAAGTGTTTGACAATCTAGTAATACAGGTGTACATAGGCAGATCCAGAGGGAGGTGCAGAGATACACCCCCGTCCACTTTTGTCCTGACAGTTTGACAGTTTATTAAATGACCATTGAAAGTCTCTTTTAAAAACGGGTAAAAATGAAGTGTGCATCCCCCACCCCCACCCCACCCCTTTCTCAAAAAGCTGTATCCGCCCATGGATGTATGCAGTTGATTTGGTAAATAACTTTACTTGTAGCGCCATGAGCATACCAGATGGCGTGGAGTTTGGCGCGTTACAAATTCACTCATTATTATTATTATTATTATTTGGTTGGTTGGTTGCTGGTTGTTTAAATCCATACTAGGCATTATTCCAGCTATATGGCGGCGGTCTGTAAATAACCCAGTATGGAGCCTTAAATCCAGTGATCAACAACATGAGCATCGATCTACTCATATGGGAGTGTGACCACCGTATCCCCTTAGTTGCCTAGAATATTCCAAATGCAGCAATCTCAGACAATTTGGTTTATGAACAGAGGATTTCAGTTTGGTATGTTCTGTTACTGTTACACACCATTCTGACATAAAATATTCTATATATGTATACAGACGTCATAAGTGTAATGTTTTTCTATTTTGTACACAGCCAATAAATTCAAAGAGATTTTGCACTAGGATTATTTGCCTAAACATTGTAATATCAGCATGTTTATTCATTTAAAATTGTATAGTCTATATTCAAATTTAGTGTTCATATATTAACTTGTGTCTTTAACAGGTGACTTAAAACTTTATCTGTTGATGTAATACTTGTGATAACTGCCATATAGCTGGAATATTGTTGAGTGCTGTGTAAAACTAAACTCACTAAAATACCTGTGATAAAACAAAACCATCAATAAGAGTAGAGTACAGTTGCCACTCATATTACAGCTTTCATTATCATGTATCTCAAGGTGTGTTTGTTATTTATATAAAAGAACAGTCCCATTTAAGATCAGACCCTGTAGCATGCACTTGCTGACTCCCTACTAGACAATCACCTACATGACAATCATCTTGAAGACAATAACCTACTATAAATCACCTACTAGACAATCATCTACAAGACAATCACCTACTTGACAATCACCTACTAGACAATCATCTTGAAGACAATAACCTACTATAGATCACCTACTAGACAATCATCTACAAGACAATCATCTTGAAGACAATAACCTACTATAAACCACCTACTAAACAATCAGCTACATGACAATCACCAACTAGACAATCTGCTACAAGACAATCACCTACGAGACAATCACCTACTAGACAATCACCTACAAGACAACCATCTTCAAGACAATAACCAGTACTATAGATACCTACTAGACAATCGTCTATAAGACAATCACCTACTAGACAATCTGTTACAGGACAATCACCTACTAGACAATCATCTACATGACAATCCCCTACTAGACAATCTGCTACAAGACAATCACCTACTAGACACTCACCTACATGACAATCACCTACTAGACAATCACCTACATGACAATCACCTTCTAGACAATCTGCTACAAGACAATCACCTACTGGGCAGTCACCTACTAGACAATCACCTACATGACAATCACCTTCTAGACAATCTGCTACAAGACAATCACCTACTGGGCAGTCACCTACTAGACAATCTGCTACAAGACAATCACCTACTAGACAATCATCTACATGACAATCACCTTCCAGACAATCACCTACTAG